ATACATAATGGACTTGTAGACATACATAATGGACTTGTAGACATACATAATGGACTTGTAGACATACTTCCGACACTAGATATTTGGTTGACAACATCTTCAACAATAAATAATTATATATATATATATATATATATATAATTAAAAAGAGTGCAACGTTAAAATAATTACACAATAAATAATTTATTAAAAGCAGGGATCAGCCCTAAAAAGTTTCTACATGTTTCGGTGTTCATACGCCACTATCTTCAGGACTCCTGAAAAATGGTGGCGTAAGAACACAGAAACATGTAGAGACTATAAGTATTCTACTCCTTTTAATTGCATATCTTCAACAATACTATAGACACCAAATATCTAGTAAAAAGCATTGCTTGTTTGTTTGGAATTAAGCAAAAAGCTACACAATGGGCTATCTGTGATCTGCCCACCACGGGTATCAAAGCCCGGTTAATAGCGTTGTAAGCCCTCAGGCATACCGGTGTGCCACTGGGGGCGGTAAAAAGCAAACTTCAACAATACTGCAGAAACTAGATATTTGGTGGACAACAATTTAAACAATATTGTAGACGCTCGACACTTAGTGATAACATCTTCAACATTAAATCACCAAAAAATTTAAAATTCAATTATTTTACTACATATAATATAAAGGAAGACTCAGTTAATTTCATTATAATGTTGATGGATTTTTTTAAACAACCCTTTTTCATTTAATAGTATCAGTAACAAAGATAAGAATTCTTAAAGAGGTATTTACATTGTTGCAGAAACTAGTGTTCCCAGAAGTAAAAAATATTAAGATTGTTATGGTGCTTTAGTTTTGGAGTAGTTTTTATTATCTTTCTTTTTCAAGACAGTTTTAGCGAACGATTGTTATTTGAACTTGTCTACCAAATCCGTCTTTACTTTCTCTTATATACAAAAAAATTTACAACTATAGTTTCATTTATTTTTATATTAACTTTGCATTGCACCATTATCACATCTTCAATGAACTATTTTCAGACTTGGGTCGTAGGTATACTCTCATATATATATATGTTGTATTTTGTTTCATTGTTTCAGAATTGTTGCACATAGTTAAACAAAAGCCTATTTATACATAGCCGTCCTTAATTTTGAACTGAACGAGTAGAGGGAATTCAACTAGTCAACAACGCCATAGCCAACTCTTGGGCTATTCTTATCTGACTGAATTGTGGGATACGACCACCACTCTTATAGAGCATCGGGCCCGGCATGGCCAGGTGGTTAGGGCGCTTGACTCGGAATCTGAGGGTCGCGGTTTCGAAACCCCATCCCACCAAACATGTTCGACTTTCAGCCGTGGTGGCTTTATAATGTGACAGTCAATCCCACTATTCATTGGTAAAAGAGTAGCCTAAGAGTTGACTAGCTGCCTTCCATCTAGTCTTTCACTACTAATTTAGGGACGGCTAGTGCATATTATCCTCGTGAAGCTTTGCGCGAAATTCAAACCAAATATTATAGCGCATCCAAGATTCCGAACTGCGGAGCATCATTTTGAGAAACGGGACGCAAACCATAAATTATAAACACTAGACCATCCTTTATTATGTTGTGGAGTGTCATAAATTTGTTTATATAACATCTTCTACTTTTAATGTGTTATTTTGTTTTAGTATCGTAACATAATTTAATTTTCTTTACGCGATATTTTCCTTCATGTGTCTTTCATTCAGTAGCTAATTTCCGGTTTTTTATGCACACGTACTACAATACGCTATTTTATTTTCATTAGCATCGTCTTTTCTCTCGCTAACATAATCTTCATCGCATAAATGTATATTCAAATAATTGCTTTACGAATGTGAAATATTTTATTAAATGATTTATCTTTATGTACACCGTTAGGGTTTCTGTTTGCTGAGCCACAGAAAAGTAAATTTTTGTTCGTTTGGAATTAAGCACAAAGCTACACAATGGGCTATCTGTGCTCTGCCCACCACGGGTATCGAAACCCGGTTTGTAGCGTTGTAAGTCCGCAGACATACCGCTGTGCCAATGGGGGCAGACAAGAAAATATATATTGGTATTTGATCTTGCATTGCTGTGCCTTAAATTACGAAGTATGAATTATTTTGTTTAATTCAGAACTACTATTAAAAAAAAATCTTCCATTTTCCTTAAACTGCTGATTTGAACTAAAGTTGTGTTTTTTTTAACGCTTGCACCCAAAAAGGGATAAATCACACAAATAACTGTATATGTGCATCATCAAATTTATATATATATATATATATAATTCGTTCCCAAATATCTCAGAATTAGTTACAAATTACAACTGACAACTAACAAGAATGGCTCATGACGGTTTGACGTTTTTAACAGTACTCTATGTAATCTAATGTTAATTACTTCCTAAGTAAATTTGTGGATTGGACCGTCAATTTACTGCAGGACTAATTATATCTTATAAAACTAAGAAGGTTTTCTCTTGCTACTTTAATATCGTTTACAAATCACGACCTTGAATCACTTTATTCAGCTCATATTATTGTGTTTCCAGTAAATTTTCTCGTATTATAAATTTTATTAAACAACATTCAAATTATTATGTAGTTAGAAACAAGAAATATGTATAGCACTTTAGTTGGGTAGGATACATGATAAAGATGATGGTGTTTAGTTGGGTAGGATACATGATAAATATGATGGTGTTTAGTTGGGTAGGATACATGATAAAGATGACGGTGTTTAGTTGGGTAGGATACATGATAAAGATGATGGTGTTTAGTTGGGTAGAATACATGATAAAGATTATGGTGTTGACTTGAGATGAATACTTGATAAAGATGATGGTGTTTAGTTGGGTAGGATACATGATAAAGATGATGGTGTTTAGTTGGGTAGGATACATGATAAAGATGATGGTGTTTAGTTGGGTAGGATACATGATAAAGATGACGGTGTTTAGTTGGGTAGGATACATGATAAAGATGATGGTGTTGACTTGAGATGAATACTTGATAAAGATGATGGTGTTTAGTTGGGTTTAGTTGAGAGAATTACTAAATTTTAAGTTTTAGAATGTATTTTTATAATATGAGAAGATAGGTCACAAAGCCAATATCGTCCTTATAATATAATGTTTAGCGGTGGTGAAAGAAATAGTTCCATTTAAAAAAGCTTACAAATACTCAGTAAGTTCCCTTACCTTTATATTTATATATATATATAAATTAAGCGCAAAGCGTTTAAATAAGTATCATGTTGTTTATCACACATAAATATTTTAGAAATAGTTGAAATAAACTCTGAAAACTTCCTTTGCTGCTAGAAATAACACGATATCCCTTAAGAATTAGAATTAATATAAGCATTGTACGTCTGATTAATTAACATACAACGAACTCGTCTGGTTTACTTTCATTTCATACCAGACACCTAAGTTTTATGAGTTCTCGGTAATTGGTTATTGCTATTTCACCTTTCTTAATGTATACAGTCGAATAATATTAGTCAGCATCCGCTCCTGTTGTTCCCATTTACCGCTTAACAATAGAAATAATATTGTCAATTCATTTTAAGCTCAGGGAATACTTTCTCGTTAGCAAGCGCAATATTACGTTATTTTATTACATTTTTATCGGTGTTGAAGCCTGTGAATACATTAAAGTTCGTATATTACCAGCATTCTGACAACCTTTGTTCTGCTCGTGTGAGGCAATGAAGATTGATGCTAAAAACTGATCCAGCACATAGAACAAGATGTGATCTTTAAATGTCATTCTGCGTTATTATACTTTTCAAATATAACATACTGAACCTCTATGAATATTTCATAACTTTTCCAAGGGTGGTTAAAAATAGCTTCTTAACAATATCGAAATTCTGTTTACATTTTGTATGTTCATGTTTAAGATTTCTTTTCGTTTTCACCAGAGAAAAGAGAATTTGACATTGAGGTATAATGTATTCTTTGTTTGCTGTGGATTGCAGTTTCGCCTATTCAGCACAGATTGGGTCAGCAAACCGAAGAAGGCTTCTTATAATGATCAATAATGAATTCGACGAAATGTCATGATATTATTCACATACCTAAATCAATTTAGGTTACTATATGGGGAAGTAAAATTGACTCAAAACCCATAAAGATTACTTTGTAGCCAATAGTATGTTTGTTTGTTATGGATTTCGCGCAAAGCTACACGAGGGCTATCTGCGCTAGCCGTCCCTAATTTAGCAGTGTAAGACTAGAGGGAAGGCAGCTAGTCATCACCACCCACCGCCAACTCTTGGGCTACTCTTTTACCAACGGATAGTGGGATTGACAGTAACATTATAACGCCCCGCGGCTGAAAGGGCGAGCATGTTTGGTGTGACGGGGATTCGAATTCGCAACCCTCAGATTGCAAGTCGAGCGCCCTAACCACCTGGTCATGTACCCAATAGTACTCTTTTATTATTCTTATAACAAAACCTTAAGAAACAGACATTGTTTTAGCCTTGCGTGAGTGCAGTGCTGTTTTTGAAGCACCATGTCACCTGCGGTACAATTTAATCTTGCGGTACATAAAGGCATTGTTACTTCTGATTAAAACTGTTCATTTCACTCGAACTTTATGGTAGAAATATATTTTGGTTTCGAATCAGTTGCTGTAATCATTACAGAATTAAAAACACCAGTGTGTTTTGTGTTACTATTTGATACGTATATTTTAAGGATCTCGCTTACACTTACAAAGAGCAACCACACTGATGAAACTAAAATAGCGTAAGCTTGCTTAATATATTGCACTTATAGAAACTAATTTACTTCGCATATTATTGCTCATCGGGAATCTTGTTTTTAAGGATCAGTTAGTTAAAACCCATTTTATTAATTCAAATATGCGTTTTAAGTCTTTTCCTCAAATACTTGCAAAATTGTATTCTGCTTATGTCTGCGAAACTTATAATACCGACTGTTATACTGTTTTTATAATGATAATTATATAGTTATATAATCAATGGACTTTTTGTAATTTTTATAGCAAAGCGTCCTCCCGTGGAAGAAACGGCAAACTTTCTACAGACTCTCCTGGCAAATCACGGACCAAATTATCTTGAAAAACTTTTCGGGGATAAGGCACGAGATGCTTTAGAGCCGCTCGGGGGAATACAGAAAGTTGCTGTTGCCCTTTCAGGTAAGGGGTTTTAATGTTGTTTATTTGCATAAATACTTTCAGAATACTTTTAGCTGCGCTTATAATGTCTGAAAAATCAGTGGTAGTTAGGTTTAAAAACTCTGCGATGAAATTTGGACTGGAAATTTCTAAAGTAAGGAGCTTAGCTTTTGATAACATTTGTTTAAATCGCTTTGCAAGTATCTACAATGTCTTCTACGAGGTGGTTTGTACGTATGTTTGTTAGCTTTTGTGCAATTTAGAATAAAAACTAAAAAATTAATTCGATATGCGAAGAACAGCTAGTAGCAATTGCTTGTTACGCATATATAAATAACTGTTTGTTTGTTTGTTTTGAATTTCGCGCAAAGCTACACTGGGGCTATCTGCGCTAGCCGTCCCTAATTTAGCAGTGTAAGACTAGAGGGAAGGCAGCTAATAATCACCACTCACGCCAACTCTTGGGCTACTCTTTTACCAACGAATAGTGGGATTGACCGTTACATTATAACGCCCCCACGGCTGAAAGGGCGAGCATGTTTGGTGTGAGAGGGATTCGAACCCACGACTCTCAGATTGCGAGTCGAGCGCCCTAACCACCTGGCCATGCCGGGCCTATATAAATAAATATGTATGTAATGTGTGTGTGTACATATATATATATACACACACACACACAAACGTAGAGGTTCATTGCGTCATATTAAAATGTTATTACAGAGTATGTCGCAACGTCCGCTCAGGCTCTACCTGACGATCATGTAACCTGACAATAGCCCCGAAGTGTAATTTCCGTCTAGAGATTGTCATGTGCAAAGCAGAGACTCCCTTCCTTCGGGGTTTCCATAAGCCATCTAGTGTGCGAGAACGACGGTTTCCAACGCTCGTTTCAACATCCCTATCACACAGAAATCGGTAGACAGCATCCGGTACGTTTTCTTATTGAATAGTTTGCATACCCGTTTCATTCACCAGCTGGTTGATATATGCAACAGTTGAATGTACACCTAATTTTTTCGTCATTTAACTGATTTATGCTAACTAATTTCTGTTCACAGAGCACTATATAAATG